ATGTGAAACACTTGTGAGTTAAGAAGATCAAAAGTATGGCCATCTCTGTGTATAATTAAGGTCTGGAGGAGGACGTCATGAGAATTGAGTTAGGTAAGGCAGTTAAGGTGTTTCATGGCATATCAATAGATGCTGAAGTCTCTCACATGAGGCATGGAATTGGAGAAGAAAGACTGAGCCAGGTAGTGAATTTACTGAGGAAAGAAGGATGTCTTGGAGAATAATAGGTAACAGCTACCAGAATCAGAGCCGGAAGGAACCTCAGAACATGAAATGTCAGAGCTGGGAAGGACCTGAGAATGGAGAATTGTGAAGTTGGGAGGGATCTTAGAACACAGAATATTATGCCTGGCCGGGATGTCAAAACAGAGATTGTCAGAGCTGCAAGGGACCTTAGAACCAAGACTATTCAATCTAGAAGAGACCTTAGGAGAAATATTGTGAGATCTCGAAGGAACCTTAAAAATCCTCTCTTGCAGCCTCTTCATATGGACATGGAGAAGCTGGGCGAAGTGAGTTTCTTCATCTGGATGGTAAACTCTGAAAGTTTCTCGGTGACCTCCATTCAGTGGTGTTCAGGAGCCAACCAGAACCTCGTTAAATTTTCATCATGAGCATTTATACCTGAGAAATTGGTAAAGGCTATAAATCATTTTGTTAATTGTCTAGACTTAAAAAAATGTTGGAGAAAATTTTAACAATGTAGAACATTTCTCTCCCTCACCCCCCTCCTCCCTGGGCTGATTGTTAAACATTTACCAGCCCACTCCTGCCTCCATAGCAACTAGGCTAGCACTACGCACCTATTGGAGGAAGTACTTAGGGTTGGAACAAAAAGCATCGCAATGAGCCAGGCAAAAGGCAAGGAGGGGGAAGCAAAGGACCTAGAAGGTAAACTAATGAACATACTCCTGGATAATTGAGAGCTGAGTGTAAATCAGTTCTCCCAAAGCCGGAGGCACAAATAGCCACTGATGTTTGGAGTCCCTTTGAAGACCTGTGGTCTTTAGACAGGGTCATGGTTGTTGGCTGATCAATGAAGATATCGCTTGTCATCCGCTGGCTAAGAACTGGCACTCAGCACTATATGCCTGGCATATAGTAGGTACTTAACAAATGTTGGTTGACTGACTGCTCCTGAGTCACGGCTGTCCCTTTACAAAAAGGGGCTGGCAGATTTCCTGAACTTGGGAATGGCAAGCTGTCCTTGATTAAACTGACTGGCTGGATTGTCAACATTGAATTCAGCATTAACATGGTGAACTCCCATGTTGTCATGGTGAAAGTGGGAAAGACTAGCCCAGATCAAAAACTCTAGTGCTCGTTCTGAGTGGCCTGGGTGAGATAAAGAGACCCAATTTTTAGAAAAAAATACATAAAAGGAACACTTCTTAGAGGTGCTGGAGAATCTTTTGAAGTAATCCCAGCTGCAAGATGCTCTTGGCAAAAGGGCATGGATCTAGGCCTACTCTACTCTAATACCTTCATTTTACAGGAACTTTTAATTCCCACCTTCTTACCTTCAATATGGCCAAGATTTCCACTCATAATTGTGTGTGTGTAGTGTGTGTGTGTGTGTGTGTGTTTCAGGGCAAGATTCCGGGTAGAGTTACTGTCTCTGAGCCATATAGAATAGGACTCTCAAAGACCCCTTTCCTTTTTAATTTCTGGCTAATCTTCCCCCTCCAACCCTGAGCACAGGGCTAAAAGAGATTACCTGTCCAACGCCTCCTTCCATCCTAGGCTTCCCAAATTCAATCATTCCACTCAATTCAAGAGCTGTGTTAGAAGGTGGAGATAAAAAGACAAAAATAGTCATGGTCACTGCCCTTAAGGCAACTATATTCTGCTGGTGTGTGTGATACAAGAGGTGCACAAGCAGGTAATACAAATTAGATCCAAAAAGACTAAGAGAGTTTAAGAGGGAGAAAGTCTTCATATTCAGAGGGACCAGGAAAGGCTTAACATAAAATGAAGGGAGGGGAGAGAAAATCTCTGGGATGTGGCATTAAGTTACTCTGGGCTCTTTGCTCTTCCTTCAACAAGACACTCCAATTCTTGGCTCCAGACATTTCCCCTGGCTCTCCCTTATGTCTGGAAGGCTTTCCCCACCTCATCTCCACTTACTGGCTTCCCTGTCTTCCTTCATATCCTAGCTGAAATCCTACCTTTTACAGGAAGCCTTTCCCAGTTCCCCTTAATGTCAATGCCTTCTTTCTGTTGATTATTTCCTATTTTTCCTGTCTATGGCTTGTTTGTACCATTTACATATTGTCTCCCCCACTAGAATATAAGCTCCTTGAGGTCAGGGACTATCTTTTGCCTTTCTTTGTGTATCCAGCACTTAGCACAGTGCCTGGGACATAGTAGATGTTTAATAAATGTATACTGATGATGCAATGTAAATTATTTTAATATATTAATATTATATATCAATATTAATATAATATATAATTTTGGTTTGTACATATAAATTTGGTGTGTATAACAACACTAAATGTTTTAATGGAGAATAAAACACCTTACCTCCTTCCCAGGGTTAGTCTAAGGATCAGAGGATATTATACTTGTAAAATGATGCTTAGCACAGGGGCCTGGCATATAATGGTTGCTATGTAGATTTACTACCACTATGTAGTTTACTACTGCTGCTGCTGCTGCTGGAGCCCAGCACTTAGTGGAGGCAAAGGTGTAGAGGTCAATGGGAAGGAAGTATTCAGAATCTACCCTTTGGTGGTGAGCAGACTGAACCCTTGAAAAGTGGGCTATTAGGGGCAGCTAGGTGGCACAGTGGATAGAGCACCGGCCCTGAAGTCAGGAGTAACTGAGTTCAAATCTGGCCTCAGACCAAACACTTGACACTTACTAGCTGTGTGACCCCGGGAAAGTCACTTAACCCCAATTGCCAAAAAAAAAAAGTGGGCTACTAGAAATCAATTCAATTCAACCAATGTTGATCAAGCTTCTAGTGTGTGTTCACAGCTCTGCACTAAGGCTAGGGGAATGAGAGGAGAGAAGTTTAGATAGAACTTGGAGAGCCAAGGGCAGGGAAAGCTTAATTTTTGGCTTGGTTTCCATAGTGTCTACCATAGAGCTTGGTACATCCTTGTCACTTGATTAATTGATAAGTTCATATAGTCTTGGAGGGATGTAATACACATAGATAACTCTAATACAAAATAAAAAGTAAGAGTAATACAAAGCAAAATATTACCTAGAAGGCAGAGAATTTCTCCCAGTGACCTGTCAGTAATCATAACCCATGGAATGTTAGAAATAGAAGAGAGGAGTTCATCTGGTCCTGGGGTTCTTAACCCCAGGGTGCCTGAAATTGGTTTCAAAAACATTTCAATAACTGTATTTCAATAGCATTGGTTTTCTTTGTTCCTACAGATTTTATTTTGTGCATTAAAAAGCATGATTCTGAGGAGGGCTTCATAGTATTCTCAAGAGGTCCGGGACAACAAAACGGTCAATTAAAGGCTCCAGACTAAATGATAAAAAGTCTTGTTCAAGGTCATATACTGTTGAGTGTTGCTGAAACAGAATTAGAACCCAGAAGTTAACCTTTAGCAGGGAATTATGCACGGCAGAGAAGTAGTGGAGCGGGGAAGAGAGAAAGAGGAAGGGGAAAGGGAGGGGAGGGAAGAGGAAGAGACTGTTCTAAAAAGATTGTATGGACTAGGAAAGAGTACTGGATTTGGATCCAAGAGTTCAAGGTTCAAATTCCAGTTCCACTTCTTATTGCCTATATGTTCTTTGAGCAAATCACATCATGTCTGCAGTTTTTTCCTCATTTGTTAAATAAGGGTGTTGGATTAGAGACTTCCTAAAGTCCTTTCTAGTTCTAAATTGAGAGATAATATGGTATATTGGTAAAAGTGTTGAGTGAATACCTTCCATTACTACTTGTATGACATTGGGCAAATCATATCATGTCTTTGAGGTGTCTTCCAATGTAGAAGAAAGGCATTAAATTAGATGGCCTCCCCACCCCCACCCCCAGGGTCTCTTTCAGCTGTAAGTCAATGATACTATGAGAACAATGGAAGGTCTGGTGCTTGAGATGCAAGAATCCATTACACTTGGCATTTTTTTATCCTATGATCCTGACTGTGGAGTCCTGGATTCTTGTTGTCTGTGCTTCATTCTTGAAGAGGACCATGGCGTCAGGGAAGGGATGACATGGCACACAAGGGAATTGGGTTTAAGTGAGGGAGGGCTGTGCAAAGTCACCAGCCTCACTTTCTCCTCCAGAGCCATCTGGGTCCAGTGGCAAGATATAGATTGGGAGGACTGGAGATGGCCCTCGGAGTCCTGGAAGGGAGGTTGTGAAAGCCAACTGAGGACCAGAGCTTGAGTTTCATGACCCTAGAACTCTGATCTCCACTCTTAGGAATGGCTTCTGGTGGTAGCCAAGAAACTGTCCCAAGGAAGGTTTTCTTCTTTGGAGGAGGAAGGTTTCCAAGAGAAAGGAGCTGGCTCTGGATATTTCCTTGTGGACAGGTGGGTGGGGGTGGAGAGTGGGTCTGGATGACAGAGTAAGCCACATGTAGAAGGGCCGAAGAGCCCACCAAGCCCAATAGTCCGTCAGGAGGATAGTAGGGAAGCAGGCTCTTAAAGTGGGAATGGGATAATGGGGGGAAGTAGAACTGAGTTTTTAAGGACCAGGCTAGTAAAAAAGGTATAACCAATCAGGAAGCTCAGAAATGTGACATGAATTTGAGTTTTTTTTTTCGTTGGTTTGCGTAAGAGAGAGAGATGGGGAGAGAGGAAGAAATGGAGTCATTGGTGCTGGAGAGAGTTACTACCCCGCTCACGGAAGCCCATCTCTCTCTTGCTGCATGCCCCTCTTTTTGGCTCACTTGGCTAGGGTCTGTTCCTGACAGAAGGACTGCCTGTTTGTTGGGGGGTGGGGGGGGAGAGAGAGAGAGAGAGAGAGTGTGTGTATGTGTGTGTGTGTGTGTTGTGTGTGTATGTATGTGTATGTGTGTGTGTGTTTTAAATACCAAAAAAAAAAAAAAACCAAAAAAAAAACCCGTGGCTACAATCAGCTGCTGAGAGGATCTCTTCGGTTTAGTTCCTGCCAATTTCCCTCGGAGCTGGCACTGCAGGGGACTCCAGAGGCATAGAGGAGAAGGAAGAGGTGAGGGAGGGTGGTTTGGGGAAGGGAGGAGAAATGGACACATGCCATCGATGGAGCGACAAGGCTCTTGCTGCCAGAGTGCCAGCAGGCAGCATGGGGCCAAAAAAAAAAAACCCAACAAAACAAAACCCACAACAAATAGCTGGCAACTCCTCCTGAAGCAGGCGGCGTCTGAGTTGGCAGAGGTGCCATGGAGGACAAGGCTGCAGCATGCAGGCGAACCCGGAGAGTGAGCAGGCAAGCCGGGGAGAGATGTGGCGACACATGCAATGCAGGTAATGGGTGGCCGGGTGGCCACTGTCACTTCCATATTGGGGACCCGATGCGTGGGGCTGGGAGGTTTGCGAGAGTAGCGCCAGGGCTTGAATGGGACTGGAAGATTGACTGGGAGAGGTGAGGTCCATGAGCATGATCTACTGTGCCCGTGCCTCTGTCTGTGTGTTGGGGGTGCCCTCCTGACCTCCTGGGTGATTGCTTACTCTGTATCGGCTGGCATCAGCTCCCGTGCACGGCAGTTAGCCCTGTGGTGTTGGGGCCTCTTGGTTGGGGCCAGGCTTGGATAAGAGGTGTGAGCACTCCAGGTGGTAGGGTGCTGACCCCATCCATGCCCACTGGGATATGCCAAGGCTCTGGAAGCTGGCACTGCCCAGGCAGAGGCAGAAGGCGAGAAGTAGGGGGAGGGGTGCGGGGGCTGAGCAGAAACAGGAGCCCGAGACCAACCGTATGAATTGGCTCTGCAGACCCTAGCATGGCGACCATCTTCAGCTCCGTCTGTCGGGTGCCCCACCCATCTTAGGAAGAATCAATTCTTGGTCATCACCCCTCCTAAACAGATGTCCTTCCTTGTTTTCGCCATTAGTTTATCATCTTTAGCCCCTTCCCTACTTCCCAGACATTGAAGTCTGTTCTCTCTTCTCTTTGGGGAGTTCCTGCAAAGCCTTCCTTGAATGTCAGTCTGTTCCTTCCCACTGCCTCTATCTGCCAAGGACAAGTTGCCAAGTCTGGGAAGTAAATGTGTGGGGAGAGGAGGGGTCTGAGAGGAACCTGGAAGGTCTGGGAAGCCAGATCCCATGAAGTGCTCCCATTCCTCCCTTTCTCCCCCCCCCCCCACCGCATGTCTCCTCCTCTCAGCCCTGGCTCTGTACTGGGGGTCCCTATGTGCAAAGTGATGGGATCGCAGCCAAGTATTGCGGGCAAAGGAACAAATCTCAAATATCGGTGTGCCCAGGAGCCAGGCTGCTCAGGACACAGGAGATTTGGACCGTTCTGCTTAGGAAGGACTGAGTCTCTCATTTGGCAGGCCGCCCCTTTTGCTCTGAGGATGATGGACTCCTCCTCCCCTGCCCTGCCACCCTGCCCAGCTGGAACAAACTGGGCATCCTTCTGGGTCTGAGGATTTTCTGCAGGTGGGAAGTGGGACAGCGGGCAAGATTGGGGCTGGGACCACAGGGTGGGGATCAGGTTTTCATTTGCTGCAGCAGCAAGTATCCCCCAGATAACACGGTTTTTTGTGGCTAAAGGAGAAAAGGACTATGAGGGGCCCAAAAATGGTATTACCATGGATACCAGTCCAGACTTTGGCTTGGGGACCAGGTGTCCAGCCATCATCCCTTTACTACTGAGAGGATAGCTTCTCCCAGAGGGCTAGGGGACATGGAGGCATGTCTTTCTCTTCTACTCCAAAGGGAATCCTCAACCCAACTCAGAAATACTGTCGACTCACTGCCGCTAGCAGTGGTAGTATTCTGACAAAGGTCCTTAGGCTATAGTCAAGACAGATTATGAAGGACAAACCAAGACGCTGCTGGAGTTAATGGAAAACAAAATTCACCAGGCTGACATTGGTGCACCCTTCCTTGAGGGAGGATGCGAGGACAGATTGGAAATGAGGTTTTCCTGAGTATCTTTGCCCCTGGTAGTTTCAGAGGACATTCAACTCTTTCCTAGAGAAGATGGATTGCATTTCAGATTGGGGGAAGATTGGGGCCAGGCACTGGTAAAGGCATCAATAGAGGCCCTAGCTCACCTGCTTTAGGGTGGGGACCTGGGCTATGATGAGGACTTAGGGAGGAGCCTGGCTGGAGTGTGTAGCTGTGCCAGGGAGGAGCTAGGGTCTGCTCTCCCAGCCCAGCAGGCAGAATTTGGAGCAGGAATGTGGCCATACTCTCAGCGGGAAAGAGGGAAAAGGGATCTCAGGGATCATAGGATCATTGATTCAGAAATGGATTGGGATTACAGGTGTTACTGAGCAAGAATGAATAAGGGGGTAATTGGGGTGCTGACTTCTTATACAGACCCCAAAGGTCCACTGAAGAGAGCTTAGGTGGGGAGTGAAAGACAGAAGACTTGATTGGGAAGAGAAGGAAAGAGTGGACCTAGCTGGGAGACTGGCACTGAGAAGACATGCAAGCAGACAGATTCCAGAGTTCATTTGGCCTAGAAAAGACAGGGCCAGGAATGAGGGTTTATGTTAGAGAGCGTCACTAATGTGAGACTTTTCTGTCTTCGGGGCTATGGGCAGTTTGGGTCCTTGCCAGAGCTCTGAAGTATCACCTCAGTGGTTGAAATGAAATTGACTTTGCTGAGAAGCTACTCAAGAAACCTAAACCTCATTGGAAGCCGTCTTGTCTCAGTGGGGAAAACTCAGCTTTCTGAGAATGTCCTTCAGCACATGGCAAAGGCTGGGAGAGCCACCATCTCCCTCCACCCTGTCCCCCACCACCATTTGAGTCGTGCTGGGGAGCTTGCTGGTATCATAGCACCTGGTAATCGTGATAACTCTTCTATGGAGAATGGACTTTCATGTATGTCAGAATCGTCTTTGATCTCACCCATGAAGTGATAGGGTTGGACTGGATGACCCATAAGATCCCTTCTGGCTCTAGATAGATGATTTTGTATGTATTTTTATATGTGATTTGTTACAGGGAACCCAACTATAAGGCAGCCCTATGGTATACACCCAGGCCCTCGGCAAGAATGTCAGGTTTCAGAAGTTTCATCTATAGGAATAGAACATAGTTCTCTGGGGTCTATGAGAATAGCCAAAATGTATCTAAGTGCCTGAAGTTTGCAAAGCACTGTATATGCATTATCCTCACTTTATTATTAACACAATTGTGGGAGATGGCCTCTACAAATATTATCATCCTTGTTTTAGAGACAGAGGCTGAGAGATAGGATACAAGTAAATTGTCTGAGACCACACAACTGGTAAGTGTTGATGAGGACATTTGAACCCTGATCTCACCTGACCTCAAGGCTCCTTTTCCGACACCACATGGCCTCTTACTGCTCTCATTGAAGATGGCAGATGTGAGAAGACTTCATGGGATGGGACAAGGATAGCCCTGTGAATACAGGGCTGGTGGATTACAGAATGGAAGAAACATGGATACTGTGTGTGTGTGTGTGTGTGTGTGTGTGTGTGTGTGTGTGTGTGTGATCTCAAGTCCACTCCAAATCCCCTTCCTGAATCCAGGAACACTGAACAACTTTAGATTCCTCCTTTGAGTCCCAGGATCCTTTGCTTGCAGTATGTGCTGGGTTCTGTCTATCAGGAGAAGCCCATGATCTTCTGGGTCCTCTTCTGTGTCCATTGTGGTGATTTGAACTCAGGTCCAGCACTCTGTCAACTATACTACCTAGCAGCTTGATTTTTGGCCTCCCCCAGTTGTCCACCTCTGCCTTCTGACCACTTGGCAATCTTCATCTTTTTCCCTACATAGCTTTGTGACGTAGCTGGTTCTTTAGGCCTTCTGTTTTTATATCCTGTTATACCCTCAGTGGGGTGTTCTTGATAGGAAGACCTGAGCTGCAGGCACAACACTCCGGATGGCATAGTTGTGCCCATTGGTCAGGCCTCCAGTGAGACAGGTTGATGGGAGTAAACTCTTGGTCCATGGTTAAGTCTGGGACAATGTGGCTTTCTAGCCCTGCTCTATGGAACAGGTAACTGGTCCCCAACTCCCAGAGGGACTCGGTGGGGATGGAGGGGAGGTGGATGGAGACCCTGGAGGGTCAGTTGGTCCTGTCTTAACAAGGAGCATGAAGCCTGAAATTGAATGAAAACTGCAGCTCACAGAAGACCCTCACTGCTCCTGTCCTGCAAGAGCTAAGAGCCCTGACGATGAGCTTCCTGGGCACTCCACCCACCCAGAGCTCAGCAGAAGTCCGCAGTCAGGAAGCAACAGGTGCCCTTGACTTTGCTGGTCCAGGATGAGGAAGGCTCCCACCAGGGAGTTCACTGCCAGCCTTGCTTTGGCGCACAGCTTTGCTTTCTGTGGACATCTCTAGAGCAGACACCGCCTGCTCACTTTATGGGCCCAGCAGCTTTTACATATCTGCGCAGGCCCCGAGTCCCACCTCATCCTCTACCTGGGTGGCTGGGGGCCGGACAGAAAGAAGGAGAAGGAACCTGGGAGAGACTGGGGGACCTGCAGAAGGACAGGAGGGAAATCAGAAACAGCAGCCGTGAAGTGAACTGCTCCCTTCCTCATTCCCTTCTGCTGTCCCGCTGCCTGGGCTAGGCTGCCCATTTCAGAAGATTCGAGTTTTAGGGATGGAAAAGATCTTAAAGGCCAACCCCTCATTTTACAGATGACGAAACTGAGGCCCAGAGTGCCCAAAATAAGCACAGACAAGCAGGAGAGCTTTGAAGGCTGTATTATAGACTTGAAACGAAAAGCCAGCAGTACCTAATGAATCTGCAATTTCTTTTTCTGCTCTACTATATATATGCAAATGCCCTTTTTTGGGGGAGGGGTAATGATAACTAGCATTTACTTAGCTGTTTAAGGTAGGCAAAGCGCCTTACATATGTTTTCTCCTTTGATCCTCACAACAACCCTGGGAGATGGGTGCTGTTATGTCCCCATTTTACAGATGAGGAAACTGAGGCAGACAGACGTTAAGTGACTTTCCCAGGGTCACCCAACTGGTATCTGTGGTCAGATTTGAACTCAGGATTTCCTTATTCCAAGTTTAATCCTCCGTAAAGTCAGGTGAAAATAAAGTTTTTAAGTAGTTTCTTGCTCAAGGTCACGTGTTCCTGGTGATGGGGCTAGGATCTGAACCTCACTCCTCTGACAGTAGAACTACCATCTTTTCCATTGCACCATGCTGGTCTGTCTTTCTTTCTTCCTTCCTTTCTTCCTTCCTCCCTCTCTCCCTTTCTTTCATTCTTTCTTTTTTCTTTCCTCCTTCCCTTCCTTCCTTCCTTCCTTCCTCCCTCCCTCCCTTTCTTTCATTCTTTCTTTTTTTCTTTCCTCCTTCC